CTGCAAGGCTTCGCTGCAGTGCTGTCCAAGAGTCATCTGGGGTGACCTGTGTTGTGGTTGAGCTACCAAAGTCACAAAGTTTAATTTGTCCTCTGCTACTGATGAGAAGATTTTCAACCTGAAAACAAGTTTCGACGAACACAGAATTGACTAAATCATTAAGGCCTTTCAAAATCAAAACTAATGCTTTTTTCCTTGTGTGGGAAGAATTATAACACTTCATTCTAAACAACCTTGAAAATCAAGCACAAAAGTAAAAGTTGTGTTCCAAGACTTTTGTGCTCCATGTTGAGTACTGAGGATTGAGGTAGGAAAACCAATCAAATCAGAACATTGTAGACTAACACAGTAACGACAATATCAGAAAATAATATCAACATCTTTCAGTACAAACAAGAAAGTGTTACTCAAGGAATTTGGGGACAAATGCATGTACTGGTAATATAGTGTTGCACTAGAGTCTAGCCTTAGATAACACCATTTGTTTGAAATCTGCATAGAATGCCAGTAAAGATATTGAGCTACCACAGTAGACTCAACAGAATGTACAGTGTACAGTGTAATGAAGTTCTTATGCACCTTTAAGTCCCTGTGTATAACTGGTGGTGTCTGTTTATGCATGTGAGCGACAGCACGACACGTCTGATAAAACATCTTCAGTACTTTATCTGGTGCGTACGGTTGGCCATATCTTTCCTGCAACAGTTTTATCAACTCTCCTCCTGATGAGTGATTGAATTTTTTGAAATTAGTAAAAGCAAATGACAAGGAAACCAGTTTTCCACTGGTGGATTGCAAAGTTGGAGCTAAAGCTTCAAAAAAGCACTAAAAGAATTGCATGCTAGACATCACAGCATTTAGCCCAATAATCCCTGGTTAAAAAAAAAAATCAAATTGTGGTGTGATGAAAATTCAAAGAATCGATCGCTTGGGCAAGCTGTCACTACTTGCCCCGAGCAGCCATGCTGCAGTCCTACACTGTACAATAACGTACCAAACCCCTTACGATAATGTTGATTACCCATTGGACGACTCCCTATGGATGGGTTGCTCCACTGAAACCCCTGGCTACTGGACAATACGTTTTTGTGCCCTGCATCAAATGTACAGTGTATTAAAATTTTAATAATGATTAATTAATTTTGTATAACTTATGCCTTCACTACTGGGATCAACCTAGCTGCCGCTGTTTTTTTTGCTACGTGTACGTGTACCTAGAAATAATAAGAGCAAAGTACTCACCACTGCAGAGCTCAGTTAAGATGAGATATTCAGACATGCCATGCTCAGTTTCTTTTTCACTGAGAGATGCAGCAGAGTAGAACTGCACTATGTTGGGATGTCCTCGAAGACGTTTCTGCAAGCTGTTAAGGGTGACTAACATTGTTTATTCTACAGTGTATCAAGTTCATTCACCACAGTGCAACCCTGACCACCACTCGCTACACCATAAAATGTTGGTTACCCTGTTTAGGTTGATGGTAACCAGAGTAATGAGATAATACCAATTAAATTGTCTGTACATCACTGTGAACAGCACTTCTGTTGAACAACTAACGCTTATTAAGAAACCATCTGTCCCTTCCTCAAAGGTGGCAGTTTAATAATTTAAGGTTTAACTGTGCTTTACTCCACCACAAAATGGTTCTAAGCCAATCAAAACCATGTCACTGATGGCAAATAATTTCAGTCTGATTGTTGATCTTCTGACAAGACAACCCAGAGAGGCAGAGCCTCCTTTTGCCTTCTTAACCCTTTAAACCCTAAGATCAAAATTTGAATTCTCATTTGTTGCCTCTATTCATTTCCTACAGAAATAGTGGGGAGAAGTTGATAAAATACCAAGCAAATTCATCTTGTGTAGGGGTGATGAATGGTCCATTAAAATTTTTAACTGCTCGCAAAATTTTACCTTTGCTTGATTTGCTCGCAAAATTTAAACCAGTGCTCGCTTGCTCGTGCTCCCCCAATTTTTACGTTGCTCGCAATCTCGCAGAGCAAATTTTTTATTTCTGCTCCAGCTCGCAAAAAAGTTGCAGTGCTTGGCATGCTCAGGAATGCTCGCAAATACCATTCGTCACCCCTTTGAGTGATCATGTCCGTAATTCTCACGACCACTCTGTTTTACAAAGCATTGATATTACAAGGAGAAATTTGATGCTGATCACTCTTAGGGCTTAAAGGGTTAAGTGAGCAGGGGAAAAGAGGCTCAGAATAGATTGTCTCAAGCCCAAACTCCTGGACCAGTCAATCTTGTTCTCTATCATCAAACTGGTTTTCCAAGTGTGAATATAAACCAGTGGTTATAACTGAGCCTGCTGTACCTAGCACACAGCTTAGCACAGTCAACTCTCTCATAGCAACCACTTCTTGTAAGCGACCACCTCTCGCAAGTGACCTCTTTGTAAATAACCGTTATGTTTCTGACTTGAATTCTGTTTTAAAAACTCTCTTGTAAGCAACAATTTCTCAGATTTTAAGGCCAGAAATTTAAAACACAATGGAACCCTGCCTTATACCAACTCAAACGTACATTATTTTGTAAGAAACACTGGTCATTTCACTATCTTGAAGATCCCGTTAATACGATGTTATTATGACCAGGATTTTATGGGCCAACAGTGGTCCCATTATCAGGGTTGCACTGTATTCTTATATTTTCTGTTTGTGGTAAGTGACCGCTCCCCTCCCCCACGAATTACTCAATGTCACCAAAGTTCAGTTTTTAATAGCGTTGACCCAGAATGCTGACAAATACATTGTAGTAATGGTACTACAGAGTGTGCTTCTCAAAAAAACATGAGTTCACTGCCTATCAGCGTTGTGAGGTATTGCCAGGGTTGTCAGAAAAAGTTTTGAAGTAGACGGCTCAAATGTCAAAGTAAGCGGCCAGTCCAGGGATATCCTATTTAAAAAACGCCATCCGTTAAAAAAGCAAGCAGAGTAGCTGGCTGTTACTAACCAAGTAGGCAGTGATTTTTGCCAGCAGCTGGCTACTTTGACAACCCTGATTGCCCAGGCTCTGCAGTCATGAAAGTGTCTGATATTCTTGTCATTGTTGTTGGTTTAAGGCTAAAACAATCAAGCAATCAAGCATTCTAGACTTTTAATTCGTGGAGACTGACCGTAAGTTCAAAATTGTATCCTGGCAACAAGCAGCACATGCTCAACAATGATCTTATTTGATTCAGCAGAGTCTTTCTCTAGTTCACTCTGCTAACAGGGTATCTTATTCAATATTTGTCAATTTACCATCAAGATAAGAAAACTGTGAACATCTGATTCAGGAAAGTTTATTGTGTATGACCAATCAGGCAATCACCGATCAGCAGCAAAGATCAGGATATAGAAGCAAGCCACAAAACCACAAACTACACTGTATTAAGCAGACACTTTCTATTAAGCGGACAGTGGTCGAAGTCCCCAAATTTATTTCCCTTATTTACTTTAAATGAAACCTTTATTAAGCAGCACCTGTATTAAGTTGCCACCCACATGGTTTTCGATTTGTACATTAAAAAACCTGACTTGACTAACTTATTTGATTACTTTCACAGTACAGTATTGTTTTCTATTTCACTTTGTCTTTATAGAGCTTGTTTCACTCATCTGATTTCTTCAAATTGAGTTGCAATCTATGTTTATGATACTATGACCAATTATTGGTCCACTGTAATACAGAAATTAATGCAAGCGTATATCGTCATTGTCTCTTGGAGTATTCTAAACATTTCCACTGTTTATTTGAATGGCATTTGACACCTCATAGGTTGTTATTTATTGAAACCTGTATTAGGCGGACACCCTGTATTAAGCGGACACTACAGCATTCCCTGAGGGTGTCCGCTTAATACAGGTTTCACTGTAGCTTGTAGGTAAGTTTTGCCAAGCCTATTTTTTGTCATAATGACAGTGAGGACAATGTATTAACGAGGCTGTAGAACAAGAAGAAGCTAGTGGACTTTTGTTCAAACCAGAAAAAGTGTTTTCCAATAACAGCATAGTCTTATGACAGGGTTCCATTGTAATTTGGATTATTTATGAAAAGAATAGAATATATGCAAACTAGAGAGTGTTACATTATTTTTGAAAAGGATACAAGGACTGTTATTTCATTGAGAATGGCTTTATTTGCTGCTTCGTCACCAGCCATGAGTCGCTGAAAAAAATATGTCAAAAAAATATATTAAAACGGCCAGGACTCACTTTCTTGACGAGAAAACAGCAACTAGAGAAAGCTTTCTTCCTGATAAAAGTTGCTTGTGGAGAATGAAAACCTGTCAGAAAAACTTAATGCAGGAACTGCCGAATGGCCAAGTAGAAAAAAAATATATGTACTACACTATTTTCACTCATAGTGACAAAAGCTATGAATGTGTTAATTTTATACCTGTCTACAGTTTATATTATTATGACAACAGTGAGATACCTACAATAATTTTAATGGAAACCTGTAACAAGTGTTAAATTATTTTAATAATCAAAATAAACTGTTACAAAATAAAATTAATAAATACTACTGAAGTTTTCTGCAATGCACAAAATTGCACAAATGTTCTATCTGATAACAGTTGGTTTCATGATTTTACTCACAACAAATGAACAAGTGACGTGTAACTTAACCTGTTTTACAAACTCATGGTGATCTATCAATCTTTTGCATGATTTATAGCACTACGGTGTTACGTAAAACGATCAGGTTTCCTCTGTTTCCTTATATATTTGATAACAAACAGAAGGCATTAAAAGTAAACTTATAAGCAAAAATAATCAGTAAAAACACCTACCTTTAAAGCATATTCTTTTCCTGTTGATGTGTCTTGGGCGACAAAAACGAACCCGTAACCTCCTAGAAAAAGTGTAAATCAGGTTTAAAATTTGTTGTTTGCACAAGTATCACTGCACGCGAATTCCGGCATGTTTTTGGGCTTCCTGGTACGATGTAGTTTCTGCAGTAAATTTATTAACTGAGCGAGTTAAGGATAAACACTGTCTAATAAAAACGATGACTGTCTTACCTTCTGCGACAACTTTCCGGACTCGAAGTTGGACAGGCCCGAGTTCCACGTACTGTCCGACAAAGTCATTTCCCGATTTCCCAGTTTGACTGATGTAGTTAAACGCGGAGCGAAATAGCTCCGCCATGTTCAAAGTTCCTTAACTTTCAAGACAACAGGCGGCTACAAGAAATACTCATTTTATGGAAGTTTCTACGTCTACGCATGTTTATGATAACTAATTTCATTTTTATCCCAAAACAATATCGACTCGACTTGGAAATGACATTGAGTCGCCATTTTGTAACATGAACCGGACGAATTGCGCATGTCCGTCCATGTCCTTATTTCCGCAATCATAAAGTACAGCGGAATCTCAAAGGAATAAAGCCGCCCACACTAATGTCATTCAGCGGTGACTCATATGAAATCAAGATGGCGGTGAATTCGATTTGCTGGAGAATGCCTTCGAAGTTCCGCTTCTATTCTTTGAAATCGAAGCGAAGGGTTCGCGTCCGACCGTATCTGGTAGAATTCAAAAGATTACTGGAATCAAGCATGACTGCAGTCGAAGGGGTATAGCGCTTTTCTTTTCTAATATTTGACCTGAAAGTCAGCTGAATTTTTGGTAACCAAGGAGGCTTGTTATTGTTTACAAGACATCTGAGTTTATTTTCAGATCTCAAACCAAGAGTTGCTCCATGCTGTTGTAGCTTTGTATGATAACTGTCTTCCTGAAATCACACCTGAAGTTCTGTATCCGACTGTTTGCGGGAAATGGGCGAAAACGTTGGTGTTACTGAGAGATTTCAATGGTATGATGATGAGACTTGTTTATATTTAATATAATATTATTACTGATAAAATATACCGGGTTAAGTCAGATTTAAATTCAGCTTTTTTCTAGCCTGGGATAATTTCTATCTCCTTTCTCTCCTAGACTTGATTTATGAACATTTAAGCCTAGGAGGTAAAGGAAATTGCAAATCAACCAGGGTTGAAAATTTTTTAACCACAATTTAATTTTGACCTTACAGCATATATACCCACATACAGTTTGTCATGTGTGTGTCTGATTAAACGTCAACTTTATGAAAATCTAATTGATTAACTCCATGTTTCTTGTTTTTCTATACTTTAGCTTCTTAGGTCCGTTCTATCTATTGTTCCCACAAGGTGGTTTGGTGGTTATATACAGAGAAGGGTGGGAATTGGGGCACAAAAAATGTCAACATCTTTTTTCAGCTACTCATTCATTGTGGAGGGGAATATCATGCATTTAAGTTTATTTGTATTTGTCCTTAGATGTCTTGAGGGAGATGAAAGGTTTAAGTCCAGAAGATGATGACTGTGTAGATGAACCTGAGGAAAGTTTTATCTCAGCTGACAATGATCCTTCGATAGAGGGATTTTTTCAAGAGCAATCTTTGGAAACACAGACTTCATGTATGACTGATGGCCAAGATCCAGTTAGTGAAAAGGAAACAAAAAAGTTTAAAAAGCAAGTGTCATGGAATGATGGACAAACTACCAATAACAAAACTTCTGACTCTGACAGTGATAGTTCGGAAGAAGATGAGAACATTTCAAACCCAGCACCTATTTCTGAGAAGCGCCCCTCAGAAATCAGTGCCAGTTGTAATTGTGACAGTGAAATTGCATTTGATGATCAGGTAGAAAATAAAGCTGAAGAGAATCAAACGGCAAATGGAACTGATGAAGCAAAAGGAAAAGAGAAGGATGTAGAACCAGGGAAATTTGATGGAGTGTTTAGTGACACAGATGACAGTGAAGGATCTGATGAAAGGTATAAATGAACAAGCTAGGATGAAGGGGCAAATGTGCTATTGAGGGATGGTGCATATTTTTTTGTGCCTATCCGAGTATCGACTAGAGACATTTAAACAGTCAGAAGTGGTTAACATTGATAATATTATATTATAGTCTGGCGCAGGGTATAAAAATTGATCATAGATGTCAGGTCTCAAAAGGGCCATTTACCATATTTTACTGAGAAACTCATGACCAGTGAATGTTCTTGCCAAGATTTATACTTCTAACAAAAATAATGAGCCTTTTGTGCACTGTGATAAATTTCTTACCTGATACTGTTCATACTTAAAAAAATAATTCTGATGATATTTTAATAGTTAGCAGTAAGTAATATAGAGAGATAATCTAATCACTCACGATATTGAAATGTAATTATCACTTGATTAGTGAAGATGAAGATCAGGATTTCTCAAAAGGGGCTGAAGAATTTGTTGAAGCAGCAAGGAAAAGGAGAATTGAAAGAAAAAGTTGTGAAGGTACACTTCAGCATATAATTATGTTACAACAGGCTTGATAATATCTATCAAACTTCTCTTTAATTATTTTTTCCTTCTTCTAATACTAATGTTGTGTCATCACAAATGGCAGAAAAAGTGTTCTCACATACACTAGTTTGAAGTAAAATAATTAATGTACCTTAATTTTAAAACAAATTAATAGTTTACCAATATAAAAAACATTTGACTTAAATCATGAATTAAATTAGTTATTTAGCTCTAACATAATTTGATACTTTCAGAGCCAGGTTTAGGAATTGAATCATTGATTATAGCAGCTGCAACATTTGAGCGTGAATATAGGTATGGTATATTTATTCAATATCATCTATTATTGTGATTTGTGTGATTTTATTACTAAGAATAATAAACTTCATAAGAGAAAGCTCATTTGTATACATCAAGGAAGTTTTTTTTTTTTATCTGTAAATTATTTGTGTGTCAGTATAACTCGTCAGAGGCCATCAGAGAAAGTGATTCAGCTAAACTTATTGGCAGTCAGGAAAAGGTGTCGGAGATCAGGAGTTGGAAAGTTTCTACTTGAGGTTAGCTAAGCAGTTTGTTGTTTTTTTAAACACTGACAAGAGTTTGGGACATTATCCTGTACAAGCAGGAAGCAAATTAATAATGTTGACTAGATTTGCGCAGCAAGACTAAAATATTATGCCATTTGCAGAAGTCGAGGAAGAGTAGAACATGGCTAAAACATTCACGATACAAAAGCAGCAAAAATTTCTGGACAGAATAAATCTTCTAGATACATACAGTAATGCTACAGAGCTACTTTTCTGGAGAAAAGCTGTTTTCCGCAGTTTTGGTTCCAACAGAAATTTCAAGAAAATTTAATATTTCAAGGTTTTCTTGCTAAGCAATGCAAGTTGGCTGTCTCATGTGCATTCATGGCCTTGTTTATATAATTTGCATTTTTCAAATGCAAGCATGCACGTTAGCCGTGTCAAAGCTCCTAGTACCAGTAAACCCACCCCCTCCCCCCTGCATGTTGTCCTTTTGCAACTTATTGTCAGTAACGGGCTTCAAAATTATTTTAATATCACAGACCCTCAAAGATCCGACCATCATCGGCTCGTATGATACAATTGCCGTGTATGCAGATAATGACGCTGTTGAATTCTTCAAAAGAAGTGGTTTCACTGATGATGTTGTTCTTTGTAGCAGATTCAGGTGAGACAAGGAATAATAATATTATTAGGTCACCCCTTCATGTATTTTCCACTCCAGCCATGCATTGTAACAATTATTTCAATCTGCAGCATGATATACAGCGTGATGTAACAATTTGAATGCCAGGTCCTCCTCCCTGGGTGGAGTGAATTGAAGCACTGTATGCATAAGGTGTAATTGGGAAATGAGTCCATGCTCCTCAGTCTGCTAAAAGACTGATCTCAGGGCGAACCCAAGAGCTCAGCAGAAATGGATGAGCCTGTAGCATGAAGCTACTAGGAATTACAGGGTTACCCCCAACCCCATTTATTCACTTGAGTGAAAAGAGACAAAATGAAGCAAAGTCTCTAGTCTAAGGAAACAATGTGACACAAGGCTACGGCATGGACCTCAAGATCTGAAGTTCAAGGTGTTAACCGCCTCACCATTGAAAGTTTACGGCATCTATGATTTCCATTTAAATCATCTACTGTACGTGTAGGAGGAAAGACAATATTGTGGCCAAAGTTTTATGTTGAAGATGTACAAACACTGGCCTACACAGCAAGTGTTTCTTTTCTCCCCTGTCTCTTGCCCATCCTCATTACTTTGCTTTCACTCCCACTTTTTTTCTTTGTGTGCGACTGTAGCTTAGCTTGCAGCAGGCTCTGCGGGGCGCTCTGGTGGTGGAGCTGGAAAAGGAAGGAGAGCTTGTAACTACGTCTCTGGAATTTGAATATCTGCATCGAAAAAGTCGATGTTAAATGCTGATTGGCCGGGGTGACATTAGTAATGACGTCATTACCCTTGGCATGTGTTTTCAATGTTTGTTTACATATGTGCTCATTTCCACTTTGCACTTATTGGTGAAATCTGACTGTGACAGCTCAGTTGACAGGGAGCCACAGGGGAATTGGAGGTGGAATTCAAATTACAGAGACATAGTTGCAAGCTCTCCTTCCCTCCTTCCTTCCTTCCTTACAGGCTATGATAGCTATGCAGCTGAAATTGGGACGATGTTTGCCTAGTAGAGCCTATTGTCATTACATACTTGTTCTGTGGCCAATTATAAGACCATGTTTTGAGTTGTGAATAAAAACTTTGCAATCCCAGAGAATCTATTAAATTTTTTTAACCCTTTTATTTTCTAACTAGTAAGTCGTTTAAAAAAGATTAATGTAGCCCCATTATAATCAAATGAGTCTAAAAAATGCTTCCCGAACCGGCCATGCATCATTGATAAAAGAAAAATTAATGCTTGCATTCAGTAGTGGGATTAGTTTTATACTTTTCTTTTTTAAAACGTGTCATATACTGTTTTCACTAGTGAGTTAACAGATCACTGGATAAACAGCACATTAATGTGCTACCTTCCTCCATTTACTGGTAAGTTCACGTTTGTCTCTTTATGCCCAAACCTAAGTGGGCAAATCTAAGGCCAAAAAAAATCAAACTGTCAATATATAAGATACCACGCTATTCGTAAATACCGTAAAATTCCAAAAATAAGCCCCTCCATGTATAAGCCCCTCCAAATATAAGACCCCCAAAATCGTAACACAAAAAATCCTCCGTTAAATCGCCCCTCTGAATATAAGCCCCGCGGGGGCTTGTAATTGGAATTTGCCTTCGAATACAAAGTAAAACAAAGCAAAAAATGGTAAATCTCCCTCCCACTACAAGCTCGTTCAATCGATTTTGAGACGCAAATTTCCCTCCGTACATAAACCCCTCCGAATATAGGCCCCTCCAAAAATAAGCCCCTCAAAAAGAGCCTTTGAAAAATATAAGCCCCGGGGCTTATTTTCGGAATTTTACGGTATCTCGCGCATAATATCTAAAGTCTGTCTACCAAACTTATGAATAAGTCCTGTCTAGAATTAAGAACATTTACAAAGCCCTTGTTCACAAGTGAATAAATTTGTCAGTAGTGCTTTTTGCGCGCGCTGATTGGGTGGCTAAAAGGTTTGGTTCTCGAGTTTTGAGCTTGTGTGGTACATACTAAAACGTTTTTTCACCTACATTGTATAATATGTCTAAAACTGGGATATTTTAACAAAATATTAACGGCATGATATTCAGGGAGAAAAATTAAAATAGTCGGCGCTCCCCTCAATAAAGCCCCGTCTCTCGAATAATCACCCCATTTCGGCAAGGGAAAATGAACAACAAGAACAATCGTTACCGGCTATTATTCGAGGAAAAACGGTATCTCGACCAAACCAGGTTTGATAATTATACATACAAAAAATACTTTGTTAATTATATACGGCTAAAGGAAAAAGTTCATGAAACTCTTCCCGGCGGTCTTCGTTCTTTCTATTTCTTTCAAAGCTAAAGGTGCAGGAAAACGGGCAACAAATTAAAATTATGCAACTTGTCTTGCAACGAGCAAAACGAGTTGAATAGCAATGTTGCGCGTTTTACCACCCACGTCAAACCTGTCTTGCAACAACGCAATGTTGCAAAACAAGTTGGACGTTCAGTTTATGTTATATTCCCGAAAAATAAACATAATAATAATAATAAAACTGCGAAAGTATTGGTAGTTTAACATTTCTTTTTTGGTTGCTTTAGGTTCTGACTACTCGGGTGCTTTTAGAAGTGAAGAAGATCTTAGAGCCATGGATGACGATATTAGAAAATGGTACAATGTCGGCAATTTGTGTAGCAAAAAGATTCATCTTTTTAGTTCATTTCACCTCCGCCTTTCCAAAGAAGTCAGACGGCTTTCCCCGCCTAATGTATCTGTACTTTTGCTGAGAGTTTTTAACAGAAGTTGAAAGTATGATGGACAACTGTTTAGAGCGGAAAATTTTGATTTAAGGCTACTTAAATGGTTTCAAAAGTCGCTAATTCTGAAGGCTTCAAAAGTAGAAACAAGCTCTTTATCGCTTTTTTACGCGTGCGTAACCTGCCATTTAGTGGGTATGAACGAGGTTGAAATTTGCCAACTTTTTGTAGTTTCTGAAAGTGTTAAAACAGCTTAAGATTTTATGTTTAATACCCTTCCGTATAAAATATTCGATGTTAACTGCGAAACCGCCAAAACTGAGTGTTTTTCGTCATATTGCTTTTAATAAAGTATTATTGAGTAAATACGTTAAGCGTCAAAGTGAGGTTGAGGTACCCCAATCGAACCAGACCGTCAGTTAACAAAATTAATACATAACGCAGCAGAGAACGGACGGTTTGGCAACACGATTGCGTATTCTGGAGCACAAAGAAAAGTCAGAATCGGTCAGTAGTGGGTGAAAGTTTTGATCAATATAATTTTAATTGCTCCCTTTCAGAAAGCCTTCAATATTTTTAACACAATATTTTCCCACAATATTTAGCTATGTTTTATCATAAGAATAATGCGTTACGGTCCCAGGACTTCTTCATCAAATGATAAATAAATGTAAGGCCATTCTGATTTCTCTTGTTTTTTAGGAGGGAAAAAAGCCTGGAAGCTTACCAAGCCCAGACCACATGTATCGTCAGAATGCAACATGAGATTAAGACACTTAGAGCCATAGTAAGTTCGACGTTCATGTACCGAGCTGTTTAAAAGAAAATCGCCCCAAGTACATGATGAAAGGATAATCCGGGTTCGGGCACTAAATTTTTGCTTGTAGAATCTGGGATTTAGAATCCGGAATTCAGCTCAAAAGTCCAGGCCCCGGTTCCTGAAAGGCCGCTTAGCGCTAATCCAGGATTACAAATTTTTTTCTCTATTTTTGTATTTACCTTCCTATGCATTATCTAGAGTAAAATTCTATGTTATCATCACTGAATCTCGGAGTAAAGACACAAAAGTATTTTGTAAGCTCGAATAACATGTTCTTGGACAAGAAAACCTTGCTTAAAATTTGGCTTAATCTTGGATTAAACTTGACCATCTTTCGAGGAACCGGCCCCAGAATCTCGCTAGCGAAAATTGGAATCCGAAATCCGCAGCTTGGAATTTAGAATCCAGGACTGTCTTGGATTCCCTCACATAGCTAATATGGAGCGAAGAAATTGATAATTTTGCACCACGCGTCCACTCATGATGAATAATATAAGCTGATGATTTCATAGCCTGATATATTTGCTGACTGGTGCTTACTTTGATTTGGATTTTAACGGACATTCACTTAGACTGGAATCCACTATTTTGTGTCCTTGGTAGGTTGACACCCAAGACGAGGCTATTAAAACCCTGACAGGCGCGAACGAGAGACTTGAAAAGGAAAAATACAAATTAGGTAAGTCTTGTTTTGTGACGAGTCATTGCGCATGGCTTCGTTTTTACATTTGAAGGTCGCAACACACCAGGCTTCAACAGGTCTCGGTGACAAACCACGTGCGTTTAGGTCGGGAGACAGGCTGCAGCGACACGAAGACATGGGGACAGGTCATAACGACAATTCCCTTCGTCATGAAAGAAATTCCCTTCGTGTACATTAGAGAATTTTTATTAAAATCTTCGCCCTTTTCCCCCTAAAAAGTTTGTCACACAAATTCAAACCACTTTGAACCTGGGTAACTTGTCGCGGGGACAAAGGTTTTTACAACAATTCTTAAGTGCATAGGAATCAAATTGTCACTGCGACCTGTCCCCTCATCGTGTCGAAGCAACTTGTCGCTTGCCCTATCCACACCTAGTTATTTGAGGCTTGACTGTATTTGAGTTGCGCGCCTTCAGTTTCATTTACTGCGGTGGGTCGATTATTTGCAGAGAAAGAGCTACTTGCGCTGAAGATACAGGGAAAAGATGGAGACCTAGATGATGAAGATTTTGAAGGTAATTTTAATTATCATGGAACCCGTACAGCCTCGCGCTCAAATTTGTTGAAAAACCCTTTCAAAAAGTCCCGTATGAGGGTTATACCCGTCAAGTGATAAGGCCGGAAAAAATACTTACGGTCCTGCTAGAAAAGCGTACTGATCGATGCGGGTTCGCTCCGTCAGAAGAATTAAAAAAAAAACATAACAGTCATATGATAAACTGCTTATTGACTAAGTTAGGTCATGCTGGACGGGAAAATATTTGGTTCTCGCAGGACGCACGGACCTCGAGCCAAATATTTTCCCGTCCGGCCCTCCCACACAGTCAATAACTACAAACGGTCTCCCGTGAACTGATAATCCCAAAAGCCCGAATATTTTTGTCTATGAATTGTTGGTGGGAGTTTGCCTGCTTTGATCCTGGGACGCCTTGGCCTAGCAGTCACACTTACTCTTATTCTTCATACTAATGGTCAATAAAAACCCTATCTTAGATCAAAACTCCTCGATATCTCAGTATATCCAATACTAGACTAAACAGCTTGAAATCCCTTCCGTTCACACTAGAATATGCCCATGTAGCTTATATTTATAAGAATACCACCACCCCTGGCGTATCAAATGTGCCATCGAGAATGTTAACTTTTAGGCTTTGCTTACTTGTTGTTCTTTCCATTCGCCCAGCAGAACAAATTTTTCTTGTGTCCATATCTTCTCTTACAGATGATGGTGACTTATATGAAGCCCTTGCTCAGATGCTGAGTAAGAAACACGTGACCAACACGGAACTGGATCTGGAAGCGATTTCCCATGGTGACTTTCGCGATGTTCCTCAGGGTGCGCATGTTTGACTGATTTACAATGAATACATGTAAATGTGCATGAAAAATGGCAAGATGTATAGCTGTCAAGAAAAAGAAAATAAAAACCGTTGCTTGATAGAATCAGCGGCCCGAATAAACAGAAACCCCAATTCGATATGGCTATGCTGTTGAGCCGCAATCGTCTCACCAAATCCATTCAGCTTCCAACCCCGCCTCTTACTTTGACTTAACCCGCAAACAATCTCCACTCTTTGCTCGCAGTCGAAACACGTGTCGACGGTATCGCTAGTATCACTAATTAGTCCTGAAACTTTGCCACATTTATAGCGGTGTGGTCTATTAGTTTGCCCGTGTGACTCGCTCTCCAAAGTCCTGGTTTCAAGCAATCCCCATACAAATTAATGAATCATTAAGCCCTGTGTAAATGGACGCAACATTGTTGGCCGACAACATTGTAATATGTTACATGTTGCGTCCGTTTGAACACCCTGTTGCATGTTATTGGGAGTTGTTGCGCAAAGTTTGAAACCGGTCAAATTTTTAGCTTCGTGCAAAAGGACGCAGCGACTCCCTACAATGTTACTATTCGTCCGTTTGCACGGGGCTTTAAACAGCAGAATGAACTTTTGATAGTACAAACTTGCTCCTCCTCAGCTACTTGGTATCCATAACTTTTGAAGCAGATCTTTGTTGATTGTTTCATTTCATAATTATGATCAACTATTCCCGTGAGACCAGTAGGTAATTTTCAGTGATTCACCTTCGACACGCCATTGTAAACGCCCAGACTCTAACTATTTTTCTTTTCAGTTCCTATAAGCACCAAATACGAAACTGAGTATTAGCTTGTATTCAACTATGAGTCGATATTTTGCCTTGTTAATATTGTTCTTCCTCCTTTTCTTCTTTTTAGAGGATGAAGAGTTCGTGTCATCATTTATTACAAATCGCAGTGAAAAACAACTTGTTCAGCAGATCAAACGCAGCTTATTGTCCACAAAAAGCTACAAAGGCATCACAATTAGTAGCGTGAGGAAGGTAAAACAGTTTTGATCCCTCTTGCACTTCTAATTCAGACACAACCCTTTCATACTAATCCCATGGGTTTGTGGTTGCTCGTATGTATGTTCCGTGTAGCGTAAGTTGAAAATATTTACCTGTATGTAAATGAAGTTGAAGCTCTCCTAACGGCCCTGAACACTTGGCTCCGCCATTTCGATGTCTGTGCACTGAAAATTGAAAAGATCTGTGTGAGTCCCAAAGTGCCAAATAATTTAAGCCAAAACAGTCCACCATAAAAATGAAACAGAGCCTATTTGAACCCACGCTGCGACCCATTTCAGCCTGTGGGTGTACTCGGGATCAACCCTAGGTAATTGAACTGTATCGACCCAAAGTAGAGCCAACAAGAAGGACTGTATTTTGCTCATCGGAACAGCCTCATTTTTAGGGCTAAAACACATCTTTCTGATTTACAGTTTATTAATAACGTTAATTTGATTGTAAAATCCTCGTGTCTTCACCAATTCCCTTAGGTCGAGTCATGTCACATCGCTTTCATGGAAACAGGTTTTGATTCACGTACTCAAAGGCTTGGTGATCCAGTTATCTGCACGCAGCTTTACCTTTGTGGCGGTGCTGGTGATGAGCAAATAGAAAGGATCATGAAACGAGGATTTAGCAAAGAAGGTATAACGAAGGATTTTATAATGTGTCAATTCGTTTTTCCTCAGTTTTGATTGTGGTTGTAGTTCTTGGCTTCTTTTAATGTTTAGGATTGCTCTTTAATCCTTTAATTGTGTTGATTTTCTTTTTAGATTTCGTTCGTGGTCCCTATGGAAAAGGTCTTTATTTTTCAATGCAGGCCTGTCAAGCCGCAGCGTTTTCAGCGGTAAAGTAATTTTCTTGTAAAATTTTTATATCTCCATATGGGCACCTCTCTCGACCTCGTTCCCAATGTTTTCTCCCCCTCCGTGGATGAGTAGGAGAGAACCCTGGGATCGAGTTGGAACCTCTCTCTGACGAGCAGTTCCCCAACTTCCAAGACAGACTCTTCTGAATTCACTGTCAAGTTTATGCCTTTCTTTCGCCTTTCTTTCGCTTGCTCACTTTTGGCGTACTCGAGAATCGAGTAAAATCTTTGTTGAGCATTCGCTGCATGTTACTAGGATATAGTTTCAAACCCAGGCCTAGAAGCCGTTTGCTTGCTATGGTGGGCTCTGTTATGACGATCGGTTATCAATAAACGGAAGCTCGAACTCAAAGGCTGAGGGTCCCCAATAGGTTTTTCGGGATCCGGGATTTCCCTTAATTAAGGCCCGGGATTCGCGATTTCAAGGCAAAATCGCGGCAAGATTCGGGATTGAAAAGCATGCGCGCGAGGTTAGATGCTGAAAATAACCCTCGGGATTACGGGATTGCATGAAATTTTGGGTCGGAATGACGGGATTGAAGAACCATATTGGGGACCCTGAAAGGCAGGCAGAGCCTCCCCTCTGCTCTGCACAGGGTGGCCTCCTTCCGACGTCCATGTGAACTTATCGTGGAATTTCAATAAAGCTCGAAATTGAACTTTTGATGAAAGAGAAATTTCTTGTCTCCGCGAGGCCATGTAATATCATTTAATTAACCAAAGAAATAATGCGAGTTGGTCTACATCAACACTCCGAAAAGTACTTTGCTGGGGTAGTGTGCACCCTAACTGGCTTCTTTGTCGTCTCTCCCTTTGTATTAGCCTGGTAAGCTGCTTTTATGCAACGTTGGGCTTGGTTTGACGGAATCTGTTGTTGTACAGGATCGTGGCAGGTACGATTGTAACAAAACAGTGTCTTTTTCCAACCCCTTTGATCCCATACAGAGTCTGCAGAAGGAGGAAAGCGGTTTATGCTGCGTGCGTCATACGCTCTGACACTTCCGTCTCTTAGAGCGGAATCTATGCGAGGGAAAAAATGGTCGCAATCTAGTGAATGAGAAACCAAAGGTCATAACGGGTTGTCTTATCCTTTGTTAAAAATCAAACGAAATCCTACGTACCGTGTAATAATTTATATCTGAAAAGTTCTTGAGCAACTCTTTACGACGATTCTATTTCGAGTGTTCTTTTGTACTGTACGTGAGTGAAATCTGGAAGTTTTATTGTCTTATGGCACAGTTAGAGGTGAAAGGGTAACCGATCCTTCAATACGTTCCTGTCTTAAGCAACCTTTTCCGAAGCCTGCGTGTCAAGCGTTCGAATAGGAAAAGTAAGAGGGAATTTGCGCGTACGAGTGAATGCGAGGGACGCGCAACGATAAAACGGTTTCCTCTTCCGGCTTGCGCGCCCTTGGAAGTGAAAGATTAAAATTAAAAAAGTCCCGATACCAGAGATTTGTTGGGACACATCTTGGATCATTGTACGTTTCTGTGAAACTGCCCACCTACCCCACCCTTAAGCCAACATTAACACTTACTTCTCACTTAGGACAAAATGTTGGCTTTGAGGAAAGGGCAGGTGGGCAGATCTTTGACTTGAACTGAGAGCATGATATGCGTCTTTTGTTATAATTGAGTTCCTTCTGTTTTGTTAATCTAGGTCCTTACCTCCGCCTGGCTATGACTCCATACTAGTAAGTAGAGCAAAACCACTTTTTGCCTAGTTCTTTTCTTGTCTTCATCCTTTCCTTCTTAGGCCATTAACGCACTCCAATCGGCCAATAAGCTTGCAGAATTTCGTACAGAGCTGAAGTTTGAATGTTGAGGTTATTTTTTTTTCTTTCATTAGACTAGTGGGCGCACTCCTTCGCCTGTCTCCCCAGGCCCCCCGCATCAAGAGTATGTTGTGTTTGATCCCTTACAGGTGAGACTGGAGACTAGAGATAGCTGGTAATTGAGAGATTTAGTGTCACGTTCATGGCAAAGGCAGACTCGTGTTGAGGATTTCTCAAAATAGAAAATGAGTAGATAAAAACATTCTATAACAATTCTTATGGACAAACATAACGCAAAGTTACTTATTTTTTGTAAAGGTAAAGAGCAGTTTATGGAAAGTAATGGAAAAACTTGGTCACGTGGCACAAATTCACGTTTGCCGCTTGCCGTATTAAAACGAGACTCTGAATCGCTCTAATAATTCAATCTCTTTATTAGTCAAAGAGCGTTGGGTAAAAAAGGCTCAGCACAAGATCACTTTAGCGCGTAAGCCCTTCGTCAGTGACCTGGAGGAAAGCACTTTCACTGATCTGACACTTCAGGGATGTAAAAGAACCCACGCTGCTGTTGGTAATAAAGAGTGGAGGACAACAAACGTTCTAATTTGCAATTTAAAATGAGATAATAAATACGACTGACCTACTTAGTTTCATTGGGATCCGCCATTTGCACATCTCCCATAATACCTTGTTTATCCCCCAAGATTTAGCATAACCTTTGTTTTTAAATTATCATGAGTATTACAGTCGCCCCAAGAAAAATTAAAGACATTGCTCATGATTTTTTTTTGGCGGGAAGTGGGGGGGGGGGGGGGGGAATTTGCAATTCGTCACCTCCCATGATGTTTACCCCCCCCCCCCCCCCCCTCCCCCCCACAAAAAAAAAATAAACAAACTTTTTTTTTTTTTTTGGGGGGATATTAATATCCATATAATTATAAAAACAAAAGTGATTTTAAATTTTGGGGGGTAAAAAGATGATTATTGTGAGAGTGGTAAGTGGGGGTCCCAATAAAACAAAGATGGGATGGCGTTTATTTTTTGTCTTTTTATATTATCATTTTCTACGCACTAAATTGTTGTATATTTGTTTTTTTATATAATTTTTTTTACGTCTCACCCACAAAAAAATGAGAAAGGGATGTTTTTTTTTTTTTTTTGGGGGGGGGGGGGGGGGGGGGGGGGGGTAAACATCATGGGAGGTGACGAATTGCAAATTGTGCAAATTGTGCAAATGGCGAATTGAATATTTTATGTAACCTCATTAAACTATTTTTGTTGTTGTCCTCTTTAGGCTATTCCAGTTTACCTGGTAGAGTACTCAACTTCCAGATAACTATTCAAAGCACTCGTGAAATATTTCGTGGTCTTGCCTGGAATTGTGCTTCAGCGAGTTGTAGTTGATTCCATGGTCTTCTTCAATTCACTACCCTTGAAACCGTTGAGGAACGTTTATTTCTTCCAGCAGAGTTCCTTCCTTTTGGGATAAATTGAAAGGAGTCATTGTTCTACAGAACTTTGTAAAATTATTTAAACTGCGGGACTCGAGTAAGGAACTTCATGGAACAACCTTTTTCAGTAGCTGACGTTGTTTAAATGGTGTTTTATTTAACATATCGATCAACTGTTTACGAACTTAGAACAACCTTTCCTTGTCCACTAGCACCACGTGACCTGAAACACATAGACCGCGCGTTGAATGAAGGTAGCCACTTTACAAACGAGAGCTCTCTCAAACGTTCTACTAGGTCGCGTTATTGCAGTTTTCGAAGGGATTGTATCATCTTTTACTGTTGATTTCATATCTTAGGACTGATTCCTTTTCTATAGTAGTTGTCCCTAAAGAAGCAGTTGTGAGGTACTCAATATGCGATACTGATTGCTTGTTCACAATGACCGTTTTTACACTAGAAACGGATTATCCGTCCGAGACGGATAAACCATCTTCAAATCCGTCAAAATTGACGGATGAACGATGGATAAAGTCAGGAGGATTGTTCATCAAAACTTAAAGCCGTTCCATTTTTAAATTAAGTCGTATTATCTTTCTGGTGCGAATTATCCAACGGATAACCCGTCTCAGACGGATAATCGGTATCTAGTGTGAAAAGGAACAACTTTTTTAAAAGAAACAAGAAAAGATGCCAGTGTCTCATTGGTATAAATAAACGTTGTATTGAATTGCCTTACCTGCGATATATTGTCGTCCTTTTGCCGTAGAAGTAATATAGTTTCGCAAGTTTGGTGGTCACAGCTTTTACGGTTTTGAAGTTATTCGACTTTTTAGCGAGGGGGACGGGGGGCGCTTTTGGAGCCCCCCCCCCCCCTTGAATAGGGAGGGTCAGCCGGAATGGATTACTGAGTCCCCCGTAAGGTTCGTCAAGAGAACATAAAAGGCTCTATGTTCTCTTAGGTCCGTTTGGAACGTCTGTGAGGAATACCGGCAGCGACAGGGCTCTTTCGTCCCAGGGGCGGGTTGCAGAACCCTAGGAACAAGGTAAGGTTGCCACCATCGGAAAATCAGGAAAATGACAAAACTCTGAAAATGAAGGTTTACTGAAAGTAAACAAAAGGCTTCTGGCAAACAAAATGGTTAAAATAAAGACGTTTAAACAAACATGCTCTCACTCGGTTACGTTTCCCTCTGTTGATACCGGGGAAAACGGGGAGGGGGAGGGCTGTGCACGCACCCCGAGCTGCACACGTGCGTGACATGCATGACGTTTTGCGGAGACCTGAGACGCCACAACGATCGAGCAAAAGCGGGTGCTCATGAAAATGGCTCCTTCGCGTATTTCTTCGAAATCCGATCCGCGTTTGTGAGGTGAGCAACTCGTTCTTCTCTTTGAAAAAGCTCTGAGAAGACTTGAATCTTCTCAGATATTATCAATCTTTTCACTTTAGTTTCGCCGTCACGTTACAAACCTTCGCATGCTATGTTTACCCTGCTGTTTACCGCTTCTTTGAATGCCACTTGCTCTGTTTTTACACGTTTATTTTGTTCAAGTTTGACTCATGAAACATAGGAATTAGGCAATCCATAAGGCAAGTGGTTTGTCCTCCATCTGCCCTGCTCATCAGTGGTGGAGTGTGAAAGCATAAGTCGCCATTACAAAAGCGAGCGGCTTTGGTGCAAGTCACGCAAAATTGTACGGCACTCTTTGTAAAATTTAAAGACAGGATATCTTGAAAGGTATATGGAATTTCACCATATGTGATTTCTAGTATGATCTTCAAATAGGACGATTGAAGTTAATCGAAAAAATGGCCCATTTGAGAAAATCGGTCAACATGTATTTTAAAAAAATGAATGCCAATGTTTGGGAAGTATGCTGATCAGGTTTGAATTTTATTTTCCATTGTTTAAGAGTATGGCAATGCATGTTAATGATTTTGAAACAAAGGAAAAAAAATTTAAACCAGGGATAGAACGTAAGGATTATGCTTTTGAAGTTACGATCTTAATTATAAAAAATATAAGGAAAATTTTGTGACCCTGCATGACCCTGCAACCCCACTACCCCCCAACCCCCTCCCTATGCCCTTCAATCAATGGGGAAATAGTGTGTTTTGGCCTTCACTCAGCTTAAATTTATCCTTGAAATGCTACAGCCTTTGAAATTTGGGCATCAGAGAATGAAGGGCAAATTAAAGATACCAGACACTAGCTACTCCAGTAACTCTCCTCTGCCTTTTTGGCTGGTAAGATCATGAGCTTTTTTTGAAGGAAGTATGGGTAGTCAGTAGAATTTTTATCAGAATTTGATGGTTAACTTTATTACATGTCCTTTTTGGGTTTTTAAGCAATCTTTTGGGATCATTATACGCTTCTGCTGAAACTGCCCACATACCCCTCCCCTACGCAAACATTTTGCCCTAAGTGAGAAGTAAGTGTTAATGTTGGCTTAGGGGAGGGGTAGGTGGGCAGTTTCTTGGAAACGTAATAATGATCCATCTTTTGGAGGTATAGTTTGAAAGATCTTGTCCCCTGCAGAAGGTAGGCCAAAAGTATACCTTAGACTGATGACATCAGACTTTGGAGTACGGAAAAAGTGGATCCACACAGGTGTTTGTGGGTGACTGAGATGTAACAAGTGTTAAATGACTAGATCCTTCACTATAATTCTTTCCTGTATTTATGTTGTCTTTAAAGCTACCAGAACCACTGTCATGACCTTGAAGTATTACTCAGTTTAATAAAATAGAAAAATGCTAATTAAAAGAGGATTAAGCTTTGATTTAAACGACCTTTGTTGTATATGATGGGGAATACTTGAAACATGGATTGCAGTTGGCAAACGTAAAATGGCTTGGCCAAATTAAGCTAATGAAGGTAATCTTTTCTTCAGAATTATATGAAAGCAAGTAAGCTTGGACCAGATAACAACCAACAGGGAATAATTATGACTTCAGCATGCGACCCTGGTCTGTTGCATCCAAGAGAGGCACGTGCTGAGTTTCGTAAGAATAATTTGACCCACATTTCCTGCAGCCAGTTTTGTGCTGGTTATCTACAAGCTAACATTGCATGCTTGCCATCCAACATGGCAGATGACTTTGAACTGTTATGTGCTAAGAACAGTTCTGCATTTCCTCATCTCTACCGCAGTCAACCAGGAGAGGTGTCGGCCCTGCCTTTGGCCTCTGATTCAGATGTAAGGTAAGTGAAACTATGAAAGACATATAGACACAGATACCAAGTTTATTTGCCAGGTGATAAGTCAAATGTCAGTGCAACTGTATGTGGAAGACATTTTGATGTATACCGATGCCCTCACCAAGGTTATTTGCTAGGCACAAGTCAAGTATCCAATTTTTTTCTCTCTTTTTTGGTTTTAATTTCCATGTGCCCCTGTAAGGGTGAAATTCCCATAAGGCAACTCTATAATGTGAAAACTCATGTATAAGGCAGACATCTCTGCTGACCTGACACCCCTGTGAAGCAGATCAATATTCTGGACACCCAAACCCCTACAAGGGTGGGTCATTCTTGCAAGGCCAAAATCTCTGTTTAACTAACACTCCTGTAAGGCAGATATCCTAATAGTTTGGACATCCCACCCATATAAAACAGATAATCCTACAATGGGGCAGTGCATGCTGCAAGGCCGGCAAGACTGTGGAACCAACACCCATATAAGGCAGATACCCCCTACAAATTTTACAGTCAAACCTGTATTAAGTACTGCCTATAATGGGTTACTTTTGGAAGGTCAGAAACTTTGTTAACTCGACACTCCTCTAAGACAGATATCCTGATTTGGTGGGCACCCATGTCCTTCTTGTGACAGGGCAGACGCCCCTACAATTAGTCATTCCCACAAAGCTGACGACTCTGTCAAACCAACACTCTTGGATGGCAGATCCCCCTTTACGGTGATGGATCTGGGGGAGGGGCCCCGGGGGCCAGGCACCCCCTTATTTTTAGACCAAACTGAGGCCCAAAGGGCCGAAAAATATTTTTTGGAGACTGGGTCCCCTCCTTATCTCAGGGTCTGGATGACCAGCCCCCCCCCCCCCCCCCCCCCCCCCCCCCCCCCCCCCCCCCCCCCCCCCCCCCCCCCCCCCCCCTCTCTGCGCTCCCCCCCCCGTCTTTCGTTTTTTTTGTTTTTTTTTTTTTTGTGATAAAGGTTTTTTTTTAATGTCTGCAAAAATAAAATTACACACAAAACAAAAAAAAAAAAAAAAAAATAAAAATATAAAAATATAATACGAATTTAATCTTCTCTCAACTTTTACTCACGGTACCTGGGGGTGGCCCCCCGCAGGCCCGGCACCCCGCTAGTTTCCCACCAACATGCCGCCCAAAGGGCCGAAACAAAATTATTCGCGACTGCGTCCCCCCCATACCCCCAGGTCTGCGTCGCCCACCCCCCCCACCCCCCCCCCTCTTCCTCCAGCCCTAATCTCAAGGTCTGGATCCGGCACTGCTTTATGTGGAGATCCACGCCTCTTTTAGGTTGATACTATGTTAACTTTAAGGGGGGACAATCGCTTAGGTTTCACTGCATAAAAAATGAAATTCCCCAAAAGAAAAAAGTTTGAAATGTTTGAACCTAATTGACCTTACACTCTGCACTTTTCCCCTTCTAACAATTTTCAGTCTCTTTCCAACGCAAAAATCTAGTGTGGGTTATGGTTTCCTCTAATGCCAGCCATCACGACTGCACAGGCCAACCAAAAGGTCTCCGTGATATCTGTTGATGACCAGTGGTACAATGGCTTTAATACGGAAAGGAGATGAGTTTTTTCCTTTCGTTTTTATACACTATTTGTTTCATCGGTTCCCTTTAAATGCAAAAAGCGTTTTTGCCGTTTTTTTCGCTCTGGTAACTATACATGCATGTCAGCTGTTTCTGGTAAGATGGCATTGATGAGACCGGTATTATTTCCTGCCTGCCTGATAGAGTCAGACGACTGACGAATGTGTCCAAAGAATGGCGTGGATTAAATCTTATCCATTTGATACAGCTGTCCGTCTTGTAGAGGTGTCTGGTAACTCTTGTTAATATAACGTTGACCGTACTCCATCTAGCAAATAACTGGTAAGACTCGTTCTTTTCTCTTTTCTTTTCTAGAACTGACCTTCCACTGTACGCAATCAGTGAAGATGGAGTCCTAACAAAGCACGCTACTGACCTGCTAGACATTCCTTGGGAAGACATGGTCACATTCTACTTTGGCTGTAGTTTTTCATTTGACCACTTGCTTTTGGCCTCAAACGTTCCAGTGCGACATATGATCGAGAAAAGAGACCCTCCAACATACACCTCAGATATCCCCTTCTTACCGCAGGGACCTTTCGCGGGGAACATGGTGGTGTCATTACGAACAATACCACGGGAATTCGTACAGAAAGTGGCGGAGGTCTGTACTCCCCTGGATTTTGCTCATGGCGCCCCTATTCATATCGGGGATCCTAAAATTATCGGGATAGAGGACTTTTTACATCCCCCTTTCGGTGACGGGCCAGTAGTTCGTGAAGATGATGTTTTTATTTTCTGGGGCTGTGGAATATCTGCAACTGAAGTTGTCACGTCTGCAAGTATGTTTTTGTCTTATTTCAATCTTTTTTCAACAACTGATGAATAGTCAATGGGCGTGCATAGTCTTTGATTTAAATCGGTTTTGCAATTGGTTTTTTAAACCCTGACAAAATTTTCCTCCTAGAGCCTCGCATAGCTGTCACTTTATCTCCCAGGTGCGTTGGTTCCTTATTTATTACAGATCTACGAGTAATGGAGTGTTACGAGGAACGCAAGAAAGAATCTCAACAAAATCATCTATCTCCCAAAGTGGTTTTTCTCTCCGAGTCACCGCAGTTCGCTTCGCTAGTCTCTCAACAAGCCATCGATCAAATAACAGCGAAACGAAACGAGCTGATATCGCAAATTCAAAAATCGACAGATGGTGTTGTGCAACCGACTGGTTCTCTTCTGAAATCTGCAATGTTTCTTTCCCATGCGTCATCAGTTGCTATAGTTACGGAAGGAGTTAAAATGAGGCAGCTTGAAGCAGTGGTTTGTCTTGCAAAAGCGCTTCTTGCTCAAGAAAAGGAAATTACCATCCTTACTTCGGAGAGCATCGTTTCGGAGTGGTGGGCCTTTCTAAACAAATGCGAAGCTAAAGGGATTTTGCAAAAATGCATATCAGTGACTTCACTAAAAGCACATGCGGTTGTCCAGAGTTTAGGTCCCAGGTTCTTCTCCTCCAGCCTCAACTCGGTGGTTACAGTGAACAAAGAAGGTATGTGATAAACACTGTTGGTACCAGTCCTTCCTTTTTTCTTCTTAAATTAAAGTTAGTGTGTGGTTACATTAAACAAATGTTCCTGTCAAACCTGTATTAAGTGGAATGTATAGTCAACTGAGCTCTCTATACAGGTTCACTGTGTGATAGAGTGGTAAAGACAATATTAAGCTAGGCGAACTCGATGAGACTTCAAGGATCACTTCATAAAGGGTAGAGGCGTTATACAGAAATCTATACTGCCGGGATTGACATGATATGGGCCAAATTGTGAAAATGGCTATTCTTATACTAAAAGATGTCGAAGTTGCCTGGACGTTTTAAACGTCTGTCCAAAGCGACATTAAGTTCGTCTTGCTTGAAAGACGTCTGTTCGCATTGATCAGACCCTTCCAGTTGTGAAACTTAGAAAAATTATCATTTGACGTGTTTGTTCGAAAAATAGTGTTATATACCGTATGCATGATGACTTCACAAAACTTGTTTCTTCAAATGGGGTGCATTTGCACACTACTAATGTGAAACCTTCTCGATGTCAACATGTTCTTAATATTAATTTCTACATAATTCTTCCTTTTAAGGCTGTCTTCCTTCTATGACTTATCAATTAGTGCTTTACTCAATTTACGGCTTCCAATAACATATAAACATGATTAAAAAAGGGTTCTCTTATACTTGAAATCAAAATCCGCATCATCCTCATCATCTAAGCCTTAACAGAAATGAGTTAACTTGTGAAGATTTCGCCATGAATTTCAAAGTATAGCACCCCTTAACTGATTTCTTCAGCCGCGGTATTTTCATTTTTCAGGGACGTTAGCTGTTCAAAGCATGTTGTCGATGGGAGAGGATATCAGAGACGTTAACCAAATCAACATTGCTGCACCAAATGAAAACGCCTGCTGGCTCGACCCCAGCATGGTTGCCATGGCAACCTACATTCTCCACGCATGTCCTATTCACGATCGGTATGTGAGACGTGGTCGAGGAGAGCACATCGTAAGGCCTAAAGAAGAGTTTCTCCTTTCCCCAAAGCAGGTACTGGAAATTGCTCTTGGTAAATAGCTTTCTTCGTCACACGCATTTTTTTGCCGGAGAAAATAGAAAGTTTGTGAGCAGAGGGTCCCTATTCCCTAATAGGTTTTACGGAATCCGGAAATTCCCTTAAAGCTCGGGATTCGGGATTTTAAAGCAAAATCGGGGTGAGATTCGGGATTGAAAGTATGCGCGGAAGGTGGGATACCAAAAATAACCCTCGGGATTACGGGATTGCGCGAACTCTTGCGTGGGGATGACGAGATTGAAGAGCCTCATTAGAGACTCTCTGAGCAGTACAGACTGTACAGCACAGTATAGTTACAATCCTCCGGACGGTAAACCTGTTACCTTGGAGTTACACTCCAGCGACTACACGGTCGACCAGAGCAGCGAAACCACTCTTATCTAGTGTGGACCTCTTTGCCTGCTCAATGAAGACATTTAATGATTTAGCGATATTTATCCAAGGGTTCCGTTTATATGGACGCCTAGACTTCGCAAACAGCATCTTCTTTGTCAGCTTAGTGTTTGGACAACGGCAAATATGACCAGTACATTTTAAATATTGGCTTTCTGAGACTGTTGTTTTTTGTTGTGTAGAATGCGTGTGTTGGTCTATCAGAGTCTGAATTCTGTATCATCTGCATCTTCAAGAGTTGGGAGTCTACTCCATCCACCATTAACCATTTGCCTCATCAACTCTATCCAACAGGTCTCAAAATTTCTGACATTTTCTTCATTTATGTGGCAGGCTTGCGTTCGCTATAAGATGCGGGATCGCACACATACGCCGAAAAGCATTGTTGGATCGAAATGCCCTGGTTTTTTCCTTAGGTTTTGCCTGATAACAGTACCTTTTTTGTTGTAGGTAGATACCCTTGGACTCAAACATCGAGATTGATCCCCGAATTGACTGGCCTTGATGACCCTTACTGAATGCAGAGACTGAAGCCGTCTCGAGCCTCTAAAAGTGATTCTAATTTTTTAATTCTGAAAATGACCAACAAACCTTTAGACCTATCGAAAATTAGACCTAGCGTAAATACATTGATCAAGGACTGAAAATGCGAATTTATGCTAGCTCTGCAGGAGACGTTCATAACCATGAGGCCCAAGTCAAGGTGGGTAGCCTGTGCTAGGCTCTTAGTTAGTAGGGACGTCGTGAAATTAAACTACGTCAAGTGACACGATCTGTGCACTTTCAGTACTATCTTGGACACTGGAGCTGGATACCACGTGAGAGGCTACGCCTTTTTTTTCTTTACACTCTTTCAGAGACTTAATCATTTTAAGTTAGGTTAAAGAACCTCAATAACACGAAATGTTTACTACAAAATCAAAAGAAATTAAGGACTCCAAAGGACCAGGCAAATGGATAACCCTGTAAGTACGCCGCTGACCTTTTCCCGTGGGGCTGAATTGCAGTTCTTTCCAGTACAACAGATGCTTTCCCGTTTGTAGGAAAATACAAAACCAGGACAGGACGGCTGGTTTTCAGGTAGGCAGTTTTTGCCTTGGGTGCCACATCTCTTGTAGAACACCTTTTTCTTAACTCCACCGACCGCAGTGCATGTCAGGTTGCCCTTGGCGCAATTCGGTGCTTTCGATGGGCATCCTGTTTTAGTCGTCTTCCTGTTACAGTCCTCTCAGGAATCTTCGCTTGTACAAGTATAACAACTCAGACAGGCAACTTAAATAATAAAAAAATGTAATGAACTTATGAGTGAATCATTTTAATGCGAATACCTGTAAAAGGAAAAACGGTTTTTCTTGGTCAGGTGTCTAGCATGAGGGTCTCCAATAAGTTTTTCGGGATGCGGGATTTCCCTTATTTGAGGCTCGGGATTCGGGATTTTAAAGGGAAATCTGGGCGAGATTCGAGATTGAAAGTATGCGCGGGAGGTGGGATGCCAAAAGTAACCCTCGGGATTACGGGATTGCCCGAAAATTTGGGTCGGGATTACGGGATAGAAAAACCCTATTGGGTACCCTCTAGCATGGAACTGACGCGCATTAGAGAGATCGGGTTTCTATCTTAGTTGCTACAGGGGGGATAGAGTGATTCATTGACAGCTTGCATGATGTCCTGTGACAGAAAATACCTTTCACTCTGTGAAAACTGAAACTCCTGAATTATTATTTTTTATTCTAAATTGACGAAATTTAAAGTGACGAGAACTCAGTAAGTCAACAAAAATGGCCAAGAACCTTTGCCTTACCCAAGCCGAAACTAGGGTTACAAGCTTTTCAATTCATGATTTTGCATGTTGCAAGCTCGAAAACATACTGAAAACATCCAGTCCAAGTTTTCAACGTTAAGCGGAATTGTTATTTTCCTTTTTTAAGGGGGCTAAGCAGAAGGTAGCCTGAGAAAACGGTCGACGTTTCTCGGCGCTACAAGGGACTTTATGATCCGACGACGGGATGGCAGGGAAAACGTCGCTTAAAAAGTGAATTTACGTTCTTCCAGTCTTTACCTCGATTATCGCTACCCATTTTTTTAATAAAAACTAGCCGAATCCCCCTGCCGTTGAACTGCTAGGATCCCTACCAAACTCAGATAGACTAGAAATAAAATTTCGTCGTCGCTTAATATCTATGTCCTTCATAAAAATAAAAATAAAAAAATAGGAAATTTTCACAACGTAAAAAGGGTGTGATGCACGTGCAAAGATTTTGTTTTGCCCTCTAAACCTATTTCTTCACGTTCTCCCGTTGCCATTGTGTCGTCTGATCGTATGAAGTCCCTACTAACTAAGGTCAGCTGTTTCTTTAGGCTAAGCAGAGGGCGTTGTTTTAGTTTCGAACAATTTTTTTGCTCTGCATAGGACGCAAGTGGTTTACAATTTTTTTGTTACAGCTCTCGACTGACCGCCAGGTATATCGGCACTCTAATATTAAATCGAAACAGACGAAGCTACGTAAAACCAATTACTCTCGATCCAAGATCTAAGCTTGTACTTTTTATCTGTTTAATATGTGTTCGTCTCTTTATGTTATTGCTTCCATAAACTTACCCCTCTGCGAAATGATCATCAAGACCACAATGGTACAGAATACACTGAAGTAAGTGGTCCCCATCGTTTGATCCTTGGTTCTTTAATCGGTGCCACAGAAGAGAAACGACGAATATGTGATGATCAGCTTTATCTCGAAGCTTTAAGCCGTTACTGCTTTCGTTTAAGTGTTGTTTCAGTTTTAAAGCGAAATTCTAATGGAATTGTCCTGAGTTGTTACAATGATAAATTTGATAAAAATAACTCGCGCTGGTATTGGTGTCATTTTTTACAGCAAAAAAAATTGCTTCAAGTCTTAAGGATACAAGCCTTGGCTTAGGTTGACCAAGGTTGCACAGTAATTCAGTGAAATTTGGCTAGAAGCGGGTATCGTTATCGTAAATAAATTCGAACCCTTTTGTCCCATTCCTGGGATCTCGGAGGGTGATGTGAGTTGAGGGCGAAATGCCTTCCTCCTCGATCTCCCTAATTCTTCAGATCATACTTAGCCTTCTCCGATAAATAATTGCTAAACATCGGCGGGCATGTTCCTTACACTGTTCGTATGGTAGGCAGTGATGAGGAGAATTTGTTCAACAATCAGAAACTCTCAGTGTTTGCTTGGTGATTATTTTCTTTATTCTCATAACCTTTACCGTCTGATTACGCAGTTACACTTTATGAAGAAAATAGGTACTGATCCCTCTTAGGGGCTAATAATTACTAAGTGCTCAGACCTTCCTGGGATGTGCAATTGTTATTTGGCCAACATAATTTGAGGGTTATTTAAGCATGGTTCAAGAGGAAAACTAAAGTTTCCCTGGAACGGTTAATCACTGCAGGCTCGCTATAAATCTAAGGGTTTTTTTTCACGCTACAAAATTAAGATCAAAAAATAAATTTCTCAATTCAGACAATTCATAACAACAAAATTTTCTATCTATTTTAACTCTTAGGTTATTTCGGGCAGCCAGCGCCCCTATCATCGTCTGTACTATTGTTATAAATTTTTATTTCTTGTATATTATGGGGTGAAATAAAGTGTTGTTGTTGTTGTTGTTGTTCTCTATAGGGCAATTACAGCTTTAAATCTTGAATGTATTACTGCATATCTTAATAAATCAGTCTTCATGTGCTTAAAAAAAGTCTAGCTAATTATAAGGAGGATAAAATACGTGTATTTTAAAAAGGGCGGATCACTTTAAAAAGGTAAAAAGACCCCAGAATGCCAGAAAAATAGAAATTCCTGTTAATAAGCCGCTGATCTTATTCAGTTGACCGGAGTTGCAGTTGTTTCCAGTACAACACTTGTTATTAGAGCTGAAACCAAATCCGGACATCGAAATAGGACAAGTGGGGAGGTCTGCAGCTGTGGGCCGACAGTCCTTGCCTTGGGTTCCACATCTCTTGTAGAAAAAAGTTTTCGGGACTTCACCGGCAGAGCACGTCAGTTCGCTTATGGCGCAATTCGGTGTTCCCGATGGGCATTCTGTTTTTGTCATCTTCGAGTTGCAGTCCTTCCACGAATCTTCGCTTGTACAAGTGTAACAACTCAGACAATTGACTGAAAAAGGTTTGAAGTAAATACAAATTGTAAGCTGAGTGCTGCGAGTAATGGATAGTGGTTCATTATAACATATTAAATTATGAATCTATTGCAGAAACAACTAGAAAAATAGTTTCCATTTTTTATAAGTCAGGGCTGTAATTTCAACCATTATTATGTCCACATGAGGAAGTTACATTTTTAAAACAAAAAGAAAAATTGGCGTTATTCTTAAAACTGGATTCAATTTCAAAATGCAACCACCTCACTTTAATTATAATGCTGTCAATTGAAATTTTATGATATAACAGTGACAATAAAATAGCGTAACTAACTGCTAAACAATCTTTCATCTTATGAAAGTGGATATGATCTTCGCTTGCAGTGGAAAAAACAACCTAAAGCGGTTGAAAAGAACTCAATTGTTGACCTATGATAAATAAATGGTCACCTCTTGAAGTTTAGCGTGTTGATCGGTAAGTGTC